ACTTACATAAGTTTGAATTTATAATGTTTTTACATACCTATGATATCGGTGATCTTGTATCTTGCCTCTCCCTCGTCGTCTATGAGCTGTGTCTTCACTGAGCCGAGCGGACCCAGCCGAGAGTACGACTCCGGAGTTAAATATAAATACCTAAATAAACAAAATCATATTTAATTACATATTTCTTTTAAACAATACAATATAATATTACAAATATAAAATACAAACTTGAATCCCCTCTCAGGACGTTCAGCGTCGAGCCAGGCCACGTTGAACTCGGACTTGACCTCCTCCGCAACACCAATACGCGCGCCAGAGTTCACGCTCACGTAGATCTACAAATAATAACAAATTTGTCTTTAAATGGTGAAAATACAAGGAATTTTATTAAATACTACTAAAAAAAGCGGAAACACAACTGTCAGCGAGAAAACGAAATGCGATGACGAGTCAACATTGTGTATAACAACGACACCATACAAAATTAGAGTTGACAGTTTACATTGCCTTGTGTAAAAACTGCCTACGTTAGCGTATACGTACGCGTATACGTACGTGTATACGTATGCACATACGTACGTGTACGTGCTTGTATACTGACCCTGGGTATATTATGTTGTCGTGCGTAGTGTGATGCGCGATAGAAGAGCCAGTCCTCATGGGGCCCGAAGGAGCCCATGTAATGCGTCAGGTCGTTGGCGATCAGCACAACATCGCGCCCCCGCGGGCATTCTGGAGTCAACAGAGTTAGGCGCCACGCCACCATACCCACCTAGGAAAAAATGTGTTTTATATGACACAATAATAAGTACCTACTTTTATATATACAGACAGAAAACATAGTATTAACTATTAGTTTTAATATCTCTCAATGTCAGTTGACGTGTTCTTTGATCGCTTTTTTGTCACCAATAAATTATTTTAACTTGAGTAATATATGAAAACTCACAGTGTTCTGTCCGGGCAGACGTGTCACTTCGACAACGTGCCGCTCTCCGTCCGGTTCCACCACCAGCTCCACTGACGTCATCACGTTGTCCGGCACCGGACCTGACACAAATATTCAACAACACATTTAATGATGCTGATAAACATTTCAGCCTTTGAAAATCGTAACAATCGGACTATATTGTGAAGTAACAAGATGGCGACTCACCATCAACGCTGCCCTCCTCTATGCACTCCCGCCAGCGCTTCTCTATGGTCTGCCGGAACATGTCCGGGATGTCGTACACGTATGTTGTGCCTTGTGATGTCGCCTACCAACAAAAAAAACAATGTATTTTAAAACAAGACAAAAAAGAATGGATCGCATCATTTTATTTTTTTATAATTCATTATTACTATTAATTTATTTACTTTTAAGTTTAAGTTATTATACATAGGTATATATATATATTAAAATTATTATATACGACATTTTTCTGTAATATGTACTTACCAGGAACCTCTTTTGCTGCAAGTAATCCTTGGTGACGTAGGGCGTGGAGATTGGCAAGCCGTGCATTGGCCCTTGACGAGCGCCGTACGATTGGAACATTATCTACCAAACCAATAAATAGGTTTTAATTTCTTTTTTTTATAAAACACTAAAGAAAAATTATATGCAACTCACCACACCAGTCCTCGGGTCTGAGACCTCTTCATAAGTGTAAATATCTAGCGAGTAGCCGGACCCATTGGAGAGACAAAGACGTACGTTCTTGGTCGGCGCTCCGGGACCTGCAAAGAAATTTGTACCTTAAAGCCATAGGCAATAAAGTTAAAAATTGATTTATCAATATAATGCAAGGTTTTTTTTCATAAATATGACTAATTTTTAAGGTATTTAATATTTTTGTACATAAATACGAATTACCTATTCTTAATGTAAAGCGTATTTCTGCTTGCAACACCCTGAGCTTCCACAGGCGAGGACCGTACCTCATCACCATGCCCAGGACTGATTCTTCGATCTAAGGGAAAATAAAAAAATAAACATTACAAGCACAAGTCCACCCTCTCTGGGCAGAGCACAATGTTAGACATAGTGGGACGAGGCGGGGATGTGGGCACTGCGCAGAGCAGTTCCAGGTCAAAAGGATTGACGCACTGTACCTTAGCAGGGTCCATGATGACAGTGGGTCCGAAGTTTAGGAATATGTGGTTGCAGTCGGTGCGTTTGGCCAGATGGTGCGAGTACGCCACCTCCAGCTCGTCCATGGCTTCCAGTAGCACCCTGGAATGTAGTAATACCCACTTATGTAACCCGACAAGTTTTGTACATTAAAAAAGAAATTATTAAAATCTAGATTATACCTTTCACCCTCATTCTGCAGGTACTCGAAGCTGGCCTCTTTAGTGATAAGGTCCTGATGCCTGATGATGGAGCGGATGAAGAACCTGTAGTCGGTCACCTCCTGACCTTTCTTCACCTGACAATTAAGAATGGAATTAAAATTTTACCAGAAACATTTTTAATTTCTTAATTGTAGAGAAGTGTGTAGTTTTCCATGGTAAGGGTTCTACCTTGGCCTTGCCGAGATACAGATGCATCTTCTGGTTGCTGGTGGGCAGCGCCTCCAGGTCGTAGCTGCGCATGCGGTACAGCTCCAGCTGGAAGGCACTGGCCGGCTCCAGGTGCCGGTAGATTGTGTCCTCGGTGAAGTCGTTACGTGCCCGGTATGTGAAAAACTTCGGGAACTGACGTCTGTAACCAAACCATTATCATTTAAAACCATGGAAATATAACGAATTCTATACCTAATAAGACTCTAAAAAAACATTTATAGTATTTAAGTGTATTTGTCAGTTAAAGGAACTGAACGTGTTAAAGAAGTTTTTTGCTGTCTAAGAATATTCATTGACATAGTGCATTCGCATGTGCGTATACGTTGGTACGTGCGCGTATACGTAAACGTGTACAAAAATATTACTTGATGAGCAGCATGAACGTAATGCGACGTATCCTCTTGGCATGTAGGTCGTGTCTGTGCGCGCGGCAGAAGCTGCCGAAGCGACGCGACGCGGCAACATCGTCGATTTCTCCGTTGTCACGTACACCGATCATCAGGATATGGATAGGCTCCAGCGGCTGTAAAGACAAGACTAAGTGTTATTCAAGAAGTTCTGTGTACTAAACGTTCTTTTTGACATAATACTGACCACATCAGTTGCGTCAACAATCTGCTTGTAATCCATTCCAACATTGATGCTGGTGCTCTCTCGACTCTCGCTACCCTCTTGCAGCGCTTGCAGGTCCTGCAGAAAACACATATAACTCTTATACGACCAAAAGAACACCATTGCTGGGTTTTATTGCATATATGGGCTTTGGACAATTATGAGCGCCATGTTGCAAATGTGTTAGGACATATTTTTGGACATTACCTCCTTTCTTACAGTAGCTGAGCTAGCGAAGTCGTGCACTAGGTCTAGCAGCTCATCAGCATACTGGGCGAACTGCTCAAATGAGAGGAATGCAGCCAGCGCGCCGGTGCGGTGGTGGCACTTGCGCATGGCCGCCGTGCTCAGCTCGGCCGGCACACCCTCCGCGTCCTGCGCCGCAGACAATTCTATCTCTGACTGACTGATCGGGATCCTGGTAAAGGGAAGTTACACGATTAAAGATTAGAACGTAGTTCTTAGATTAAGTGACAAATAGGGTAACACCAGCACATTTTCAGTCAACAGTAAAACCCTTCCGCTGTAAATAATGACAGACTTATGTTTATTTTTTTGGTGGGTACCTGTTGGGATGTCCGGTGGGCAGCACAAACTGGAAGTGCACAACTCCCAGCTCGCCGGAGAGCGCGAGATGCTGCAGACAGGTGATCTCGTAGGAAGTGTAAGCGCGCCGCACGTACACCTCCAGTGCCGCATTACATACCTACAAGTATAAATATTTTTAGATATCTTGGCGGCTCTCAAGTACGCGAGAGTCGCTGCGCAGAACACAATGCAAGGTGTGTTATGGCGATCACCGTGAGCCGCCAAGATATTTGAAAGGGGTTATAGCATAGAATATATACATACGTAAACTCATACTTTTAATAAAATGTGGTAGACTAAAGCGAACCGTAACTGATTTGGCTGCACAAATAAATTTGTCTAAACATATACTATATCCTTTGGACTGTTAATTCATTTTAATTATTACTTATATATTTATCGTTTTTACAAGGTTATTATAAATACTGATTGACAGAAGATATAGATTGGAAACATTAAAAATGTATTGCGTTATTATACTTTTATAAAAGAAAAAGGCATGAATCTAAATCAATACTTTATAACTTAATCTATTAATTAATTAATTAATCACAAATATCCTTTGATATAAAATCGCAGACTTTAATATCGTCGTAGAGCATAATTAAGAATCCACTTTAACTTCATAAGGCCCTTAATTAGTGTAATTTATCGCCCGAGGGCCTGCGGTTGAAATAACACTATATAAAACAACAGACGTAGTTAACAGTCAGCAATGCATTTCTTATTTAAAGGAGAAATTAATTTTCTTTTTTAACTTGTCTGTATTATAGTTAAAGCAATGGAGGAGGTTCACTATAAACCATTTCACAAGACGTATAGGCTCGCTACATACGCAATGATTATAGCCGCTATATACCCTAACCCGGACAAACGTAAGATACGTTGGTTTTATGGTAGTAAGTATTAATTCTATTTAAAGAATAATAGTGGGTTTCTGAGACCAAGATCTACGTTTAAATCATTGTTATTTCTGTTATGTCAAAGATTGTGACAGGGATGACGATAAGTTTTATACGTAGATTTTGGTCTTAGAAACCCATGGTATGTAAGGATTCCTATACACAAAGCAGTTTGAATATCTTATTTTTTATTCTATTACAGTGATGGTCGCTCTGTCGGCGGCACCGTTCGCTATATTTATTATGATAGCTATATACAGGTTCTGGATGGTCGGGGATGTGGTTAACGTTATAAAACAAAGCACCGTGGGCGGACCATTTCTTGGAGGATTTTTAAAGGTTTACGTTCTTTACAAACTACGACACGCAAAGACCGTGGTTGACTTGGTCTTTCTACATTGTCTCTTTTTTTCTTATTTCTGCAGGTAATCATGATGAACTACCACGAGGAGAGCGCTTTAAGTCTCATAGAGGAGATGAACGCAGACTATGCGATGTACAGCAGACTACCAGCACACCACCAGGTCATCGTGGCCGAGGGCATCAGGACGAGCCGCGTGTACGCTGAGCGCGGCTACATCGCCTTCATCTCCTTTTGCGTCCTCAACTTCCCCTTCCTCGCATCCGTTATGAACGCCTACATCTTCCTTGCCAAATCTGAATCACCGAAATACTTCGCACACGACGTCGCCATACCATTCTTGAAGCCGGAAGCCGTTTTTATATCGCCATACTTTGAAATAATGACAGTGTATACCGCGTACTGCGCTTTCTTGTATTTGGTTAATTTCATGGGATACGATGCTTTCTTCGGCCTGTGTATTAACCACGCCTGTCTCAAGATGAGGCTATTTTGCGCGGCCATGGAGGACGCGATGAAAGCACAGACGAGTGAACAAATGCGCGAGCGTGTCTCTCGTGTTATACAAAGTCAATGTAAAGCATTCAGGTACAAATTACTACTATAAATTTCCTCCATCCACTGGTCATTCAAAAAACCGAGAAGACCGATTGAATTTACCATTTTATCACTATTCTATACTTCGAAATCTGTCAAGCCATTAGGTTACAGTCACAATGGAAACAATACTAACTCTAGAACAATGTTAAAGGTACGAAGGATTATCAAATTATAAGTTTGCAGATCCCTACGTTAACTTAACGTGGAGTTACGCGCTCGATCTTTTGCCATATTCTATAAAAGAAGTATCAAGTCTTTGGTACAGTCGTCGACAATATTGTTTCAGTTACGTGGACACAATACAAGAAGTGTTCAACGTGTACATCGGCATCATTCTGTTCGCCACCATGATACAAATTTGTACCTGTATGTACCACGTCACTGAGGTAAACGCTATCATTATTGACCAGCTTTCAATTAACGAAAAAACCTGTACGTGGATGTATATCTTATTTTTTTATAGTCTTCGATTTCAATGGGTATATTTGTTAACAGGGCTACGAGCTAGATCCCAAATACATCGTGTATACACTCGGAACTATTGCTTACATCTACATACCCTGCCGATACTCGTCTAAGTTGAAAGATGTGGTAATATATTATGTACTTTTCAATGCTAAAATTGCAAATTAAAAAATTATAACACTGGAAACTTACTGTAACGAACCATGAAAATTTATGACACGCTATTAAGTTAAAAGCGATAGTCTAGTTTGAGCGAAGACAAATTTCGGATATTTAGAGAGGTCCATTATCAGGGTGTTTACCCTAATGTCTCTGAACAGAGTAGTGTATATGTACAGAGTTCTGAGACGGCGACGTTGTTGTACTGCTGCGGCTGGGAGGCAGTACCGGACCTGTGGCCGCGTAAAGCACTGCTCTATATGATCCTACGTGCGCAACGTCCCAAAGAAATAATCGCCTTCAATATGTTCGTCTTTGATATGGAACGATTCGTTGCCGTAAGTTTAATTTAATTTTTCTATTATGTTAGTAAGTAATTTATACTAATATTATAAAGCGGAAGAGTTTGTTTGTTTAAACGCGCTAATCTTTTTTTTTTAATTTTTTTTTTGTTGTATAGTCCATTTATAGAGGAAGGCTAAAGGCTGTATAACATTACGCTGCGACCAATAGTTTTTTTTTCCGCGCAGACGGAGTCGCGGGCGACAGCTAGTTACTAAATATGTTTTTTTTCCAGATACTGAAGTCATCCTACTCATTATACACGTTGTTGCGATCTTAAAGAACATTTATAGTCAAATCATATTCAATTTAATATAATATGAAATTGACCTTTTGTTTAATTTTATCGAATTTAATTTACTAGCTTTTACGTTTTCTTAATTTTTATTTAGATTATAAGCTTGAACTATATTACTTATGTAAGTAATAAAAGCGATAAATAAATCAAGAAAGTGTATAAGTAAATTTAATATGAGCCACTTTTTTTTGTTTTTTTTTTACCAAAAAGTAGTATTAAACAAGTGTTGTAAGATATGTGAGATACAAACCGCAGCATTGGTGTGATAGAAGAAGTCGTGCAGGATATCAAAGATAGAAGTCTCGGAGAGGATGAGCTTCTGCAGGTTCTCAGGATGGAAGTCGTGTCCGTACATGTCCACCGCGGAGAGGAAGATAGACTCCATCTGGTTGTGTCGCAGCTCGTACGCGGGCTGGTGCGCCGCTATCAGCACCTACACAACGCAACACAACACCTATCTTACTAATATTATAAATGATAATGTTTGGTTGCATAGATCTCGCTAAAATTTGACATAGATGTAGAACGTAATCTAGAAGAACATCTGCTATTGAGTTTTTTTTTTAATCCCGCACCGCGACTCTGCGGTCGACAGCTAGTTCAGTCATACTTAAGTCCATCGGGCCATACATCCTTATTGGTTTATAGATAGGAAATAATAAATTGTTCCAAGAAAGTCGGTCATAACGTATGCGTACGTAAGGGTGCGGGTGCACGCGCATGTATGTACGTACCTGTCGTGCACGTAGCGCGACGCGGCTGTGCTCGGCGCGGTGCAGCGAGGTCAGCTCGTTCAGTGTGGCCGCCAGCTCGTCCGTCAGACCAGGCTCGTTCGACCATAAGTGGTCTATCAGTAATGTCACCTAAACATACTATTTTAATAAAAATATCTTATAATGACGGACGAAGCGGTGTTATGTCAGTACAGTAGGATACAACTGGCAAAATGTGGCAAATCAAGCCAGCGCTTTCCTACTGCACTGGCATAACATAAACCTGGTTTAGTTAATTCCAAATCTCAATACACAATTATTAGAATTTACAAGTACGTATACTTACCAGGAGGTTTTTCTTGGCGACTTGGTTGTGCGAGAATATGATATTGGCAACCGCCTGCATGTCATCCTTGTAGCGATCACGCAGCGCCATCACACACTTGTCGTAGGAACCTTGATAAATATACAAATGAAATATAGTATACATCAGTATCTTATATTCTATTAAAGTATACTAGAGTACATAACACTGTATATAAAGTAAAATAATTCCAACATTTACTTACCAAGCTGGAAGTTACTCTCCACTTGATAGTATTGTTTCAGCAGGTCATGTACTGCTGCCTTCATTCTGCCACGAATACCATTCCTGACAACCAAATTATCATAATCAAATAAACGAAAAAAAATGCTCTAAGTATAAAATAACTCAATATTAAAGGCATATAAGTTTTATTCTACCCGCAATTAATCCTTCAAGGTCATATATCTTCATATTGAGAATGGCAACATACCTGTACCGTTGCACCAACACGACCAGCGCCTGCGTGCTCATGAAGAACACGTCTCTGTCCGCTCGCTTCGCCAACGAGGCTGCGTGACTGCAGAATATAATACATACGATTACTTCCTACTCTATTTATATTTCATATCAGATGACATGTAAATAATATTAGAAATTGAGAAAATGTCGAAATTTTATGCAATACTAGCGCCCTCTAGTATTATGTTGTGTTAATAGGTTGTACTCGAACGTGCACATACGCAAAGACGAGTACGTATACGTGCGTAGGTATTTGTGACGTCACACAGGTTATTGTTGCTGCTTAAGCAGCCCCTTAGTGCAGCTTTCATAATATACAACTAACGGTAGGTTTCTGAGACCCAAAACTTTGTTTAAAATATATATTGTCATCTCTGTTTTATAAAAGGTAATGACAGATTTGTCGATATATTTTAAACAGAGATATTAGACTCGGAAACCAGCGGTAAATGCTCACTTATTGTCTAATTAAGTACTCTGTGAGCTATAGCCATAAGTGCAGTATTATAACTAACTGGTCAATGACGCTGGCGATCTGCTGACTGGGGAACTGCGCCAGCACGCTGGTAATGTTTCTCTCGTACAGCGCCATCAGCTTGCGCACCTTCTTCTCCACCGCCACCGGGATGCGACCAGAAGTAGACGACAGCACCTGACACATAACATCATGTTTTCATTGACGAAACATGTATACAAAAACACGTAAACCCTCTGTTTTTGTACAGGTAAAAATCAATTGGGCTTTTGCGAAAAGGGTAGCTACAGATTTTGTTCTGAAATCCGATAAAAGTTGCCTATTAATTTGATTTCAGTCTAGAAATACAAACATTACTCACCTCTTGCAATTCCAACAAGGGCAGCGAAGGATCTCGCAAACTCTGCATGAACTTCTCCACGACCTCACGCAGTCGCGGCGTGTTGTACGGCTCGGGTAGGCAGTAACCTTATGTTTTTATTTTTATCGATTATCTCAAAAATAAAATTAGTTGAAAACACTTTATATAAGGATTTAAGTTAGACGAAAGATAAGGCAAAGTTTAATACTAACTGCCGAACTCGGAATGGCATCCAAGAAAGTCCCTTAGTGTATATTTAGTATATAAAAATAATGATAGATTCAGCAAGTTAACTAACCGGACAGCGTGTTTTCTAGTATGGCCCTGAACTTGGTGTGGGCGTGGTGAGGTTTCTCCGAGAGCTGGGGGTTGTCCTCCAGGGGGAACTGCCCCTTGTAGGGCTGCGCTGTTGTCACCAGGGATGGGTCGTCCAGCTCTAAACAAATTGTAAAAAATATTAGTACGTACTTACTAATTATATATTTTTTGTAAGGATAACTATTAAGTTGTATTTCATGTGACGTAAAAATGTAGTTACCTAGAGTGCCGATGAGGGCGCCCATGTCGAGCACGGCGCCGGGGCGCAGCGTCCATGTCACCTTGCCCGCCTCCGGTGCCATTAGTGTCATCACCATCTTCATCACCTGCACAATATCACATCACACTTACATAACTGCTACTTTGCTATATAACCTCAAATTTTCGAGCAACATACTAATTAATACAACATATAAAAAAATCAATATTTTTTTAATTCTCTTATTAAACAAAAGCATACAGCGCCCTCTATGTAACTTACTTTGTTATTAGTTTGTTTTTGCTTTTATTGTTTGTTTATACTGTTGTTTCACTCACTCACCTCAATTTCAGCATACGGCTGTCCCTTATCAACATGTCCGCCATCTTCTACCAGTGTATTGATGAGTTTGCCGGCAGAGGGCGCGCGCAGCTTGGAGGGGTCCTTCTCCTTCTCGAAGACCACGGTCTGGTTGCCGATCACTATACGGTATTTGTCCACCTCGTCTTTTAAATATGTGGTGTATGACGCTCCGTCCATTGATAATAATGTTCCTGTTGCATTAAAATTATTGAAATTAACAACTGTTTACTTACGTTAAAAATTACCGTATTTTCTTTCACTTTTTTATTTTGTGAATACATAGAGATAATTAATAATCGACCCATCTTTTTTATTACTTAATATTTATAGTCAATTGGGATCTAAAAACTATAAATTAAATATATTTAAAGGACATCGAAGAGACTGGCAATACAATCGAACCAGGGAGAGTCCAGATATTTTCCTCGCTTATACAGGTTCTCTCTCTAACTCGAGTTTGACGATCATGGCGGTTCTATATTTCCTAGCTTATCTAAGTTCAATAATTTTTAGTCGTAATAAGCGATATTATACGTATTCAAACGGAATTTAAGGCTTCAGTCGCTATAACCGATTGTGATATTGAGTTGTCCTGTACCTCCGTCAGTAAGTTTGTGGACCTCTAGCTCCTTGAAGCTGCCGTTCATTGCGAGGAAGTAGGACGTGGGCCCTGACTTGGTGGCCTGCACGCGGTACTTGTGTCCCGAGTGGATCAGCTCCACCTCCACGCAGTTAGAAAGCTGACCCGATGCCTGGATCTGACCTCTGCACACGTAAATAAAATATGACGTCAAAAACTCTCTAACAGATGGCGCTGTTATTTTTATACTATTAATTTTACCTATAACAAGAGTTACTGATTTATAAGAGAGAGCTACGTATTGTCTTCTTATAAGTATAGGTTTAAATGAATTACGTTTTTAACACAACAAAAGTATAATAAGCAAATTGCATGGATAGTTACGTACTTTTCCAGGGCACTCTTAAACTCCTGGAAGTGCGTGGTGATGATGCTGTCAGCAATAAGTATGGAACCGCAGATGACGCCCAGCATCACATCCGGCTTCTCGGACTGAACCTGTGAATAATATCATTAAGTAAATTACTAAGTTATTCAAACACTTTTCTCACTAAACAATTAGCACCCGCTGATACTATATGCTTTGATGGAAACAGAGTCTAACAATCACAAAAAGTTGTTGACTAGTTATTTAAACCGCCTGTTAAAAGACTTGCTTACTGCCTCACTCGATTATAAATTGTTTACTTAGTGTGGATTTTAGTACTCTGAGTGCACCAATTAGTGATCATTTAACGACTTTGGGGGTGTACTTTTTAATAAGGCGTTACGCCCTATGACGTGGTGTGGTAGGACAATATTTACCCTCTCGGCGATGAGGGCATCAAGCCAGCTGGTGTCTATGTAGTTCTCCTGGAATGCGGGTGTCTCCAGCAGTGTGATGAGGTACTCCACTGTCGTGCGGAAGTCTCCTCGGATGCTC